TGTGTGTGTGTGTGTGTGTGTGTGTGTGTGTGTGTGTGTGGTTGATAACTTGAAACAAAAGACAGGATCCTTTTTATTTTTCTGTGTGATTGACATGTCTGCTGGTCCAGGGTCAGCTCACGGTCCTCTGCTTCCAAACACATTTATTATGTGACATTTCTAAAGCTTCACAAYAACAAATCTCAGTTTTATGAGCGACTCCTGCTGAACTCAGCAGACTGTTGACCGAGTCGCCTTGACATTCAAGCCTAGTCAGGTCTGAACTCCCTGAGAGCTCCGGTTGATTTGACTCATGAGAGCTGTGAAAGCCTCTCTCTGTTAGGTCAAAGGAAAATATGCCATTGAAAACAGCATAGTCAGGTTAGTTTCTGTCTATCTTTGCTCATTACCACCATAAGTGTCTGAAGCTTAACGTTCCTTGAAGGTATAAATATCACTCAGGATGACTTAAAGCAGATTTGTGACACTGATCAGCTCCACAGCCATTAAATCATCAAGTTTTCATTGGTTGAAAGGAACAGAGGAGAGCAAAGCRTCCAATTTTGAGCTCTGCAGGCTGGAATCCCATCAGGTCATTAGGGGTGGGTGGAGCCAGAGCAAAAGTTTTCATATCTGCTGAGTGGGGACAGGCAGCAGTTCTCCCTGAAATCACCAAAAACTCAGGTTTTTGTGTGAGAAGTTGTRATGGGGTTCAGAGCTGCTTTGTTTGGGTTTGTGCTTCTCCTGGTGGCTGGAAATCTGGGTTGTAYGGCACAAAACTGGGTCATCTTCGGCACCAATGAGACTCTCCACCAAACCAAAGGACCAGAACCACCAGTGACYAGCAGCTCACACCAGCACCACCAAGAGGAGCAGCAGCAGCAGGGAAACCAGACGGAGCAGAAGCACCAYGCTCCCGTCACCTACCGGCTGAAGACGTACCAGCTCCAAAACCTGTCGACCCACTTCACCAAACAAAAACTGCTCGTTGGAGAGCCCACCTCTCAGCCAGCGACGGCCTTCAAACCAACCTCTGAGCTGAAGAAAGCCGTCCAAGTTGARGAGGCCTTGGTCCACACTCTGGATCAAAACCAGTCCACAACTGAGCCTCCCAAGGAGGAATCAAAGGCAGTTGTTTTTTTSTTTGTTTGTTTTAAGTTTTGTTTTAAAGACACRTTAACCACATGTTTTATTAAATAAAGTGTGTTGTTCGTTCCAGGTGGAGGAGCAGCAGGTTCCAGCGCCGGCTCAGAGTGTTGTTGTGCGCTGTGGTGAAGGAAATGTTTTTGTGGGGGTCAAACAGGACTTCCTCGGTAATGGCTGCCCCCATTAACGGTTTGAATTGATCAGTTTTTGTCTGTGATGACACCAGAGCAGGCCTAATGCTGCTTTTTTTAGCTGTAAGAGTCAGATTAAAGGCCTGAGTTAAGGTGGGGTGGATTGAGTGGAACGCAGAGGTGATTACCGTAAATGGTACYGACTGTAGACTTTAGGATCAATATGTTTCCTCTGATTTCTTCACTCTGAGAAGCTGCATTGTGGTGGGTTTTTTTTCTTTCTTTCTTTACAGCAAATCAGTCAGGAAAGCTTTTTGTTCAACTTGCTATGAGAGTTATTGATGAGGATGTCCTCAGGAAATGGTCTATTTACTTTTTTTTCCTCGTCAGGAAATGGCCAGCTGATTCATCCCAGTGACCTGACGTTGGGAGGCTGCGAGGCGTTTGACACAGTGGACCAGATCGTGCTGTTTCAGGCAGAACTGCACGGCTGTGGCAGCTCAGTTCTGGTCTGTGGCTCCCTCCTCTTCCTGTCCGCCCCTCTGTCTGCTCTGATTTTGACATCTTTTTTTAAAACTCTTATGTTAGATGACTGAAGAGACCCTCATCTACACGTTCACCCTGATGTACTCTCCGACACCCATCACGAACTCCACCATTTTGAGGACCAACCCTGCTGAGTCGACGGTCCAGTGCCACTTCAGAAGGTAAAGCTAAGCAGTCTTAGCTGAGCCTAAACCCTCAAAATGGCCGCAGCTCAGCCATTTTTCAAACATTGAGCCAAAATTTGGTGTGGTGGTAACTGAGTCACCCCCAACACATTCTCAGACTGCAACTTCTCCAGAGTCGACTGTCTGTTAGCAGAATATCTCATGAACCACTGGGCGGATTTTAATGAAATCAATAGGAAATACCCATTAGATTATCTGCAGCTGATTAGGTTTTGGAGTTAACCCACTTAAATATGGCCGCCACAGCAAGCTGAGCATTGGGAACACAGGAATGGCTGTAACTAATCATTGTTGCAGATGAGCTAAATTTTGTTGTGGTAGTACTTTAATTACCCCCAATACGTCTGTGAAGCACAATATGCTGTGCAAGATTTTTTTGTTTAAACCTTTAAGTGTTGACTTTAGTTCAGTTTAATCTGTTGTGAATGACTCTCAGCTGCTACCACACAAATATTTAGCTTAATATCCATAAATTTGACTTGATTATAGCAAATGTGCAATGTAGATTAGCTGCGATCATGTATTTGGGTTGACTTCAGAACWTAATCAATTTGTAGATTACTTTTTAGGTGTTTCAATAAAATCTCAAGGCTTCATGAAATATTTTGCTAACAATCAGGGTTAATGCTAAATGTTGAAGCAATAATACCTGGTACTATGACTCAGCTACATTTGGGCGTAACTCTTTATTTTAAAAAGGAATGACTCTTGCATTTTTCTTGGCTCTGATGAACCAAAAAATAAAAAAATAAAACTCAATATCCCCCCAGGAAGCTGGAGAGTCTTGGCGTGACATATATTTGTGCTTCTTTCCTCCCTCTGCAACTCAACTATTGTTAAAAGTGGTTGAAATTTGATGGATGGGTGTCTGTAAAAGACTAACTGGTTCAAAGTTTAGTGTTTGAAAGGCAGAATTAGAAAACTAGAGGTAGTTAGCTCTAGATCTATATAGCGTTAGCTCCATAATTCACATACACAAGGTAGTTAGCTTCAGAGCAAATGAATGTGGTGTTAGCTCCAGGGCTAATAGCATTAGCCCTAGGGCTAACATATGTAGCGTTAGCCCCCCGACTAATAAATGTTTTTGCTCGATTTAAAATACCAATATTTCATTGTCTGACATACTGGAACAAGAGTGACAAGTTGTTTCATTATTCTTGAGTTCAAATCCTTCTGTGATTAAAACCTTTATTGATCCTTTCTCCTGCAGAAGGAATGTTGCGAGCAGCAACGCCATAAGGCCCACCTGGACGAAATTCGCCTCAAAAATGTCAGCAGAACAGCAGTTTCGCCTTTCTCTACGCCTCATGAAAGGTGGGCAGATGGACAGGAAGTGTCTGCTGCGAGGAGAAAAGAAATATCTGATTTGCTCTCGACAATGTAGACAATTTCCCCAATGCCAACATGGCGTGATTGCAATCACTAGGGGAGAGGGAGGGGGAGCTTTGCAGACTTAGCAACTATTAAAGATGCTAAACGGRGAAGAGGAACTTATGATGCGTGTTGATGAGATGAAATTACATGCCTTGTGTTTTGCAGCTGACCCAACCGGGTCACTCTCACAATGAGATCAATATGCAGCTGATTATAGTTCCTAATTAATTCAGAACAGACAGAAGATAATAACCGCTCTGAACTCTTGTTTAAAAGTTGCTCTGTCAGAGCCTCGCTCCATCTGCTTTGATTACTTCATGAGGAAAACCGCAGATAAAGTTGATAAAGAAAAGTACATGTTTTTAAAGGGATCTCCAAACGCCTCCAGAAGTTGGCCATCATTTTTTTTTTCCTTTTTCTGTTCTACTAAAAGGTGACACGTGAAAACTCCTAATTAAATATTTGTATATGATTGTTACATTTTTCACTCATTCGTGTCACTAATTTTTAAACTGTCAAAGAATTTTTGGGGCAAGGATATAAATGGATTGGAGTTGATATTTTAACACAAGTCGAGGCTAAAACCCTAGCATGAGAATGTTTTGAATTTGTTTCTATGCTGTTATGCTCAACATATAGATTAAAATTATCAACCTGTGGTAATTTGGCAAATTATATCTAGGCTAAAGCTAGTAAGTTGGCGCCGACGCTGCATTTGCTGCCTCTATTAGCATTTGTATTTTAATGGCACAGACACTCATTTGTGTTTTTTATCTACGTTGACACTGATAAAATTTATGTAATTCCACTTTCTGCATCTGTGTGTATTAATGGCCCCATCGTGACCTTTTCCACTCAGTGTCCATGTTTCTTTGTATCTGATCAGATGACTGGGCTTTGCCCAGACCTTCCAACAGTTACACCCTGAAAGATGTCATCCACATGGAGGCGTCCGTCCTCCAGGGTTTCCACATTCCTCTGAGGGTTTTTGTGGACCACTGTGTGGCCACCGTGAACCCGGATCCCAACTCTCAGATCCGATACCCCTTCATCAGCAACCACGGGTGGGAAGGCAAAACCCTGCCTACAAAGAAAACAAATCCAAACTATTGCTTCAAGAATGTTCATGTAATGCAAAAAGTTTGTTTTTATGTGTTTTGCCATTTAAACGTGAAGGTGTTTAATGGACGCTAAGCTGACTGGAGCAGAGTCTTACTTCATGCAGAGAAGCCAGGAGGATAAACTTCATTTACAGCTGAAAGCCTTTAAGTTCCAACAGGATGACAGGAACTCTGTGAGTACAGTTTATTTCAGACGGTTTATGGTGGAAATCAGCACTGATCAAGCTTTTTAAATCTCAGGCGGACAAGTTGGAGCAGTATATGCAAAATGTTTAATATGTACTCTATATATATATTTATATTTTTTTTGACAGGTCTATATAACCTGCCACTTGAAAGCGATGCCACTCTATCATCCCATTGACACTCGGCACAAAGCCTGCTCATACTTAACAGAGGCCAACAGGTTGGGTTGCACATTTTGTAACCTGTGACACACAACCATCAGCTTCATACAGTCTAATATTTTGATGAAACGTGACGTATTTTTAAATGTAGTTTTTGGTTTTGAACAGATGGGTGGCGTCAGGTGGAGACAACAATGTGTGCAGCTGCTGTGAGACCAACTGTGGAGGGCAGAGACAGAAAAGACGCCTTGCAGCAGATGCAGGTACAGTTTACCCAGGCGACACAATATGGCGCTCTGGGATTGCTAACAAGCAGGTGACTCGGATCCAGAAAGAAGGCGAACATTAGTACTGAATCACTGTTGCACCCAACTTCCTGTTTCAGAGCTTCCCAAAACTTAAATGACATGAATGTTGTTTGCTGCCACAGACAAGAGTTCACCTCCTCTGAGATGAGCTCGCTTGTTTTTGTTTGGTATGTTGCCGTTCACGTATGGAGCGAAATTGGTCWCAAATATTTGAGAGTAATGATTTGCACGTGTAATGCTTTGTTCAATGATGGTGAAAAGCTGGGTCATCTGAGCTTTACCAGTTCAGTTACATTTTTGTGGACCGTATGGCTGAAAATTTATCATCCATTCATCATCTATACCTGCCTCCTTTCAGGGTCATGGTGGTCACTGGTGTCCATATCCAGCACTCAGTGTGCAAGGGGCGGGGTACACCCTGGACAGGTTGCAAGTCCGTCACAAGGACACAAAGGCAAAATGAGACAACCATTCACTCGCACTCTCACCTAGGGACAATTTAGAGTTAACAATCACCKGACAGTCATGTTTTTGGTGTGTGGGAGGAAGCTGGAGTACCTGGAGAAAACCCACGAATGCATGGAGAGAATGTGCAAATTCTACCCAGAAAGGTTCCCGGGCCAAGACTCGATCCAGCAACCTTCTTGTTGAGAGGCAACAGCTCTACCAACTGAGCCCAAAATTTATCAGAACAAATAAATATACACTACTGGGAAAGTAGATTTTCAAATTAGTTTTTCCACCAAAAGGACAACCTGCCCATTTATTTTAGCTGTACAGTCCATAAAATTAACACTTTTCTTCATGTAGAAAATTATCAGAAAAATAAATTTTCCTGAATTTTTTTTTTGTGTGTGGGGACTGTACACTTGGTGTAAACATAAAATTTTTTGACCCTTCCAATTGGACTTGCTGTTAATCAAATAGTTGTTGTGAGGGCTGAGAGCCAAGACTCTGCATGGTCGTCATCTTTGCTCCATGTTGTCACAGATGTTAAGTGAACAGGATAGGAGGAACTCACTCTACTGATTAACTGTTTCAAACTCTGTGCAGCTCCACCTAGTAGTCATTTTGCGGGTAAAATCAATGCATTATAAGATGTAGTTCATGGACAATGCTGGCTTTAAAGCAGCGTATGCTCATTTTAAAGACAATACAGGTTTGAAGCTTTCACGGGCCACAAAATKCCACAGCATTTGGCCCACGGGCCTTGATTTTGGCTTGTGATCGAAACGAAGTGTTTTAATCAAAGCAGCTGTCTCAAACTGTGGATTCTGTTGTCTGAATGAATTGACTGCATTTTCTGTTATCATAATGGATTTGCTTGTGTCTCCACAGCTCTGAGGCGGGAGGAGACGTCAGCTCTGGGTTCCATCGTGATGGAAGATGACCTTCTGCCAGAAGAGCTTTCTCCTGAACCAATTCTTCAGCCGCAGATGCAAGAAGATACTCAAGATGGTAGGTATCACCC